TCTGCAGGCCGGTCGAACCACCTCGTCCTCTTCACCTCGCCCCCCCCCGTCGTCCCTCCCAGGACCCCAGTGCCCCTTGCTCTGGGTGCTGCCCCCTGGCAATACCCACACACACTAGGTCTCCCCTCCCAGGGGAACCCCCACCCACTACCCCCACCTTGCCTCAGTACTAGGCCACTGCCAGTCACCAACTAGCCCCCGCTCCCTGGGGCAGACTGCAGTATAAGCCACTCATCACTGGCAAGGAGGGTTTGGACCTGCTGCCTTGGCCTAGCCCTGGGTTGTCCTCTGCAACCCCCAGTACCCCTTAGCCTTCCACTAGCCCACAGCCTGGGGCTATCCAGGCTGGAGCTCCCCCAGCCCTGCTCCACCCAGGCACTCTGCTCTAGTTCCCTGCCAGCAAGCCCTCAGAGAGAGACTGCTGAGCTCCTGGCTCCCAGCCTTCTTATACAGGCCAGCTGGGGCCTGATTGGGGCGTCGCCCAGCTGTGGCTACTTCCCCAATCAGCCCAGTAGCTTTTCCCTTTGCCCCAGCCCTCTGCCAGGGCTGTTTTAAACCCTTCTGCAGGAGCAGGGTAGCCACCCTACTACAAGGACACATACTTGTGCTAGCTCTCATCCAGTTAGTGTGAATATCAATACTAGTGTAGCTGCCTCAAAGGCATGGCACGGATAGGTTTCAGGTGGGTTTGTATTCAGCACCGCTCTCCTGTGCTTCTGCTGCCAGTGCTACTGGGGCTATGCTGCTATTTAATGCTCGTGCTAGCTAGAGGGGAGCTCGCTTGATATGTGTACACTAGCCGAGGAATGACAATGCTGACTCATAGTGTAGACATAGCCAAAGTCTCATTGGTGAATCCCATGCTGGGTTATTCAGTTCTGAGAGGCAGGCCCTCCCTCGAATATGATGACTTATTAGGTTAGCTATATCCTCACACACTGTCAGCTACCAATTCTCCAAGCAGTTTGTACTCGGAGAATCTATACTGCCAGTGCACAGACTCTCTTTTTTGGGTGGTATCAGGGACATAAAGTTAAAAAAAAATTCTTGGGGTGGATCAGATGCACTCCATCTTCCCAAATTATGCAAAAAATGCATTCACCCAATATGTACCTTCTCAGACTTGTTTGAGCAAATAATGTATCACTTTGCAACTATCAACTTTTTGGCTGATTCTAGTAAGTATAAAACATCAGAGTTATCTAATTGTTCTAGTGCCTTTAAACCCCAAGTGAAGTTTTTTGATGCATTCATGACAAACATTGTTTAGTATTTTAATCTCACTTTCAAAACTTCCATCTTTTGATTTATTCAGCTGAAGGAATATATTATTTCGCAAGCCTGGAGACTCAAATTCTATTTCTGGCTCTGCTTCAGACTTCCAGCTTGATTTTTATACTTTACCTCATTTTCCTCACCTATAAAATGGGGATGGTAATACTTATTTACATCACAGTGGGTTACCTTCTAGCTGCCATGGTGATGGAGCAAGCTCATGCGTCAATAAAATTAATAAATACAATTCAAGCAAACTTTTAATGAAAAAAACCCACTAACAAAATAAAAATTGAACCAAAGAGTTATAATTTGCCTAAAAATAAACAGAAAAATAAAAGTAATGGAAAAACCTGACTGGAGTCTTTTACTAGTTTCCTTTCATGTATGTTCTTCCTTTGGAAAACTGTAGATAATTCTCTCTAGAAAGCACTGTGAGAGACCTCACAATTCTGCCATGAGCCAAGACAAACTGAATAATTTAACAAAGGTTCCCCCTTAAACAAAAATACCAAAACTTTGCAGTTGTATAAAAGAGAAGAAAGAATTTCACTCTGAAATTTGTTCTAACAATGAGTCAGGACCACACCCAAAAAAAAAAAAAAAAAAAGAAAGAGAGAGAGAGAGAGAGAGACAGCAATCTCCTCCTGAAGGGACTGAAGCTGAACAGAAAGATGCTGCCATGTATGCTGGTTCAGACCTCGGATGACATATCTGCAGAATAGCTGATGACTGGTGTTTCCATTAGCCATTGAACACCTTGGCAATACTTATCTCATCCTGAGAATGTGATACTTACTCTTGTACAGCTCTGGCTATGGAGAGGGCCGTGGATCCAGTTTCATTAACACTATCTAAGGTCACATTTGGCAGGTCATCATCATCACTGTCACTTTTAATTTGTCTGGGAGATATGCCTCGGGGGTCCATTTGTGCTGGAAAAGAGACATATAATGGATTAAAGTTAGTGTGATGAAACTAATCTTGTCCCAGAACAACATAAAGGTGTACAACACCTCCATACTGTTATACTGTATATAACACCTTTCTCCTTTAGCTTCACAAGTAAGATAATGAATATATGAAATCATGTAGTGTAGCTTTTGTTAGCTACTGATACACACAAACATATTTGCAAATGCACAAAATGTCAATATATGTATTTTATATATATGGATACTGCATACCCATGAACCATTAAAATAAAATAAAATTGCACATATATTAATCTTTAAACATGCATTTTACCTTTAAGGCATTTATTTTAGTTGTCTTTTGGGGATGTTTTTTGGTTTCGTTTGTATGATTTTGCATATTTCCGCATGGAGATTTAGGGCAAAAATTTAGTGGTCACTTTTGCCCATCTTGAGACATCTAAGACCTGATTTTTCAAATTAGCAGAGCACTGGCAGCTCTCACTCAAAATCAACCAGTGATCTCTCAAGTGCTCCTTGGAGAGAAAGAACGGCCCAGTGGCTAGGGTGCTATCCTGGGTGTGTGTAGAGACCCAAGTCCAATTCCCAGCTCCATTGCAGATATCACATGTGACCCTGTATTTCAGTTCCCCAACTTTAAAATGGGGACAAAGTACTTTACTACTTCACAATGATATTATGATACATTAAAGATTGTGAGGCATTCAGATACTCCTCTTATATGGGCCATATAAGTAGACAGCTGAATTCCCAAGAATCCGTTGCCACTGATTGAGATTCTCACAGTTGAGAACGTCGGTCTTAATGTTTAGTTTATCAATGCACTGTGCACAGCCTTTAGGCACAGTTGTCATTTCTATTTTTTTGTTAAAGATCTTAATAAAGACAATATTTAAAAAAACATTCAGTAGGCTAACATAGTAAGTCAGATATTTACATATCAAGAAATACAGTAGTGGGTGCACTTACAGAAATCAATTATTTTACAATATTCTTCTGAGACATATTGCATAATGTAGTTACCATAATTTTTCTTGATTAGCTTGTCATTGTGTGCATTGGTTGTTGCATGCAGTAAATTAAACATCAGACATTTGTCAGAGGAGGGATTGTTGACACTGACAACGATAAAGTCTTTACCATATAACTGCACTGAGACGTATAGTGACTATTTCAATTTTTGAAAAGTCATTGGTAACATGCTTCTTTGTTCCAAAACTACAAGCACCATATTCTAGTCACACATTGCACACTGTAGTATACAACGTGTGTTTAAACATCAGTTGCCAACATAAGCTGGCAACTTGATTTAAAAGTAGTTGATTGCTCATCACATCTGATTTTACCAGAGAGAAAGCCAATCAGAAAGAAACGTGATGTTTGAGAATTCCTGATCGCCAAATGGCTATGGGGTATTAGAAGCAATTGTAAAATTGAAATAATAACCATCAATGTTAACTATTTTTGCTAATTTTAAAAAGTGAAATATGTTGCTTGTTACACTAGTTATATAATTATATGAAGCAGATAGTTACATGTTGTTAAATGTGTGAAAATAAATGTGACGTTAATGAAGTTTAAATTAAAAAGAACAAAACATATTGCACTTGATATTTTCAGCTAACAGCAGCATAGTCTTTCTCCCGTGTAACATGAAGGCCAACTCAGAAGCCTCCTGGCTGTTTACACTCAAATGTAGCTTCATCAAAAATGTTTAATAGTTAGTTTATGATGCAGCTGCCATTATATATTAATTTTGTACATTTAACTTTGCTTATTCTTAAATAAAAGGAGCTGGGTTAAATAAAGAAGAAAACTGTCTTAGGCATGTTTATTCGTCACACAACATGCCATCTAGTTTTTTTATTATGCGGTATTGCCAACTCTTGAGATTTTGTTGCACGTCTCAATATTTGGTGTTTTTCTTAAAGCACAAGGTGCTTGAGGCATGTGATGAGGTGAAAATGTGACCGAAGTGTCCCTAAAGACTCAAATACCAGAAGGCAAATAAAAGAATAAAAATATATTATCTTTCAAAAATCTCATAATTTTAAAGCCCATTTCATGATTTTGAAACATGAATCGTGATTTTTTTTTAAATGTTTGGGGTTGGCAATGCTGATTAAGTTGCATACTTAATAGGACAAATGCTGCTCCATGTTATGTCGATGCAGCCCTGCTGACGTTAAAGGGATTGCATTGTGGTAATAGAGCATAATTTGGCCCACTGGGCACAGCTTGCATAACTGCAAGTCTATGATCACGACAACACCGGGTGTCTTGTGTTGTGTATTCTCTGCAAAGTGTAGGATCTCCCACGCTTTCAAAATAGTGAAAATCAAAATGCTGTGGTGGGGGAATTAAGAACTATTAGCACAGAGGAATGGTTTTTCAATCTAATTTATGGTGATGGCTAATTGGATTGATGCCAAACTGTATAAAATCCACACTTTAGCATTAAGGAATTTATTTCTATTCCCTCTCATTTTTTTCTAATCTGTCAGCCCCAATACCCATCATTTCAGCATTCTTCTTAGTTCCCCCTCTCCATATGTGGCCTCTGCTCCTTCCCATTACCACATACCTGCAGTTCTCTTATGTCTCCTTACAGCTCTCACCCCTTTTTTTGCTCCCCCTCTCCCTTTGTGCCCACTTGCCTATTCCCAAACAGACGTGCAGCCGCTAGGATGGCTTTCACAAGTCTCTGGAGAGGAGGTTGGCTCCTTGCCTCATAAACTGTCACACAATGGCCTAATGTTTTCAAAGAACTCTGTGAGGTGCTCAGCAGGGTGGATTCTACCACTCTCCTTCAGGTTTTATTACACAAGTTGGTGACAACAGGTTGAGAGCATGGTGAGCCCAGAAGGCTGAGCTCCTCCTTTTCCATCCCAAGTAAGTTTCATTGTTTCTCAGAGCAGCTGCAACTGCTGTGGGGAAAGGCAGCACCTAAAACTATTCTCCTCCCAATAAGATCCTTACAGGTAACTGATTAGCTGATGCCCACATAGAGAGATCTTGTGCTCACCTGTGACTATAGTGCCCAAGCTGCACAGCAGAATTCTTCTGCTTGGGCAGGGCCGGCCCACAATGTTTTGGCACCTGAGGCGGGGAGCTCAAATGATGCCCGCATGCCCCCTTGATTGAGCCAAAACTTTGAAAGGTCTCAATTCTGCCTTCTTCCTGTTCTACTTCTCTCATGGTATTGCTCTGCTACCTACCCCAATAAAGGAGAACTAACAACTTAAAATGCCTTGTTCAAAAATTTTAAGTAACACTTAACTTTCAAACGCCTGAACAGCAAATATAACTTTTCTTGTCTGCATAGTAAACACTGGCATTTTTCTCTGTTTGAATAATCAAAGTGGTGCTTTCCGTGCCTTCTTGATTGCAAAGATCTGAACTGTTTCCTGAAGGTCCACAGTCTGGGCCAGCTCATGCTCTATTGAGATAGTTGCAAGGCTGACCAGCCTCTCCTGTGTCATTGTGGAGCGTAGATGTGTTTTTATTAACTTCAGCTTGGAGAAGCTGCGTTCTCCACTGGCAACTGTTACAGGAAGTGTTAGAAGTATGCGCAGAGCAACAAAAGCATTTGGAAAGAGGGTGGTCATCTTATTTGTGCACATATATTCCAGAACAGCCTTCGGAGTTGATCCTGCTGAAATGCAGCTTGAAAGGGCTTTCAATTCATACCTAAATCACTCATATCAATATTGCGCATGTCATCCTGTGTCAACACTGTCTCTAGTGCCTTGCATTGCTGGTGTAGGTTTTCTTCAGTTATAGTGAGGAGTTTTGGAATATCATACAACATCCCAAATATACTGCTGTGTTCCTTGAGCTGCATGAAACGTTCTTCATCTGACTGTATTGCACAATGTAGCACCTGGTTAAAACATTCAACTTTGAATTGTTGTTTGGGGTCTCTTATGGGATTATCCCATGCCTCGTAATCAAAATGTCTTCTTCTTCGGTGACTCTTGTATTCTTGAATGGGTGGGAAAATAGCTTCAGCATGAAGTTCCTCTGCCAACTTCTGTGCACTCTTCAGAACGTTTTGAAATCCCTCATCTGACCGGTAAGACTGTAGGTATGACTTTGCTTTCTCCAGTTGTTCCATTGCTCCAGATATATCAAGGTCAACATCTTGGAGTCTTGCTTACAACATTTATTTCAAACAGTATGTCATGCCACAACACTAAGCCACACAGAAATTTGAAGTTATGTATGTTTCTGGTGATTTCATTTCCCTCTGCCACCATTCTCCCACGAACGGTTCCTGTCATAGCATTATCATCCATAATGGCAACTATGGCATCATCTATCTTTCCCAATTTGGTGTTTGATAGGTTTTATCGCCGCCACTCAACTTTCCCATCATGTGGCACTCAGTTGTTTCAGTGTCAGAGAGGATGTTCCCAGATGTTGCTTCAAAATTTGCCATTGATGAGTTGATGCAGAGAAAAATACATAGATGCTTTGAATTACATTAAAAAATTCAGCAGCCTCACTAGAAGCTAATGCTGCATCCCTGACCACCAAGTTCAATGAAAGAACTGCATGGGACAAAAAAAGCTCGAGGGTTTAACTCTCGGATCCGTGTCTGCACTCCTCTGTTCTTTCCTCTCATGTTGGCACCATTATCGTAGCCCTGACCTCTCATGTCAGCTATCGCAATTCCCATATCTTCCAGCTTTTTAAGAATCAGATTTGTCATACCAGCTCCTGTAGTATCATCAATGTCAATAAATTCTAGAAAATGCTCTCTGACAGTCATCATTGCAGGGACATTTTCGCTAGGTTCTGTTGTTGTTACAAAATGCACCATTAAAGTCATTTGTTCCGTATGGCTGATGTCAGGTGTGCAGTCCAGAATAACAGAGTAATATCTTCCTGACTTCAGATCTGCCACAATCTTCTGTTTGACTTTTGTTGCCAGTAATTGTATGATCTCATTTTGAATTG